CTTCCAGAAAGTGGTCGCTTTTCTGATGAGAGAGTTGTTGCTCTTCTTTTCTTCAATCTCCTGTTGAGTTTGTATGTGTTCAGAATGGTTTGATCCCTATCCAGCTGAATTCCTGAGAGGAGACCAAATCCAGGTCTCCTACTCCTCCGCCATCTTGCTCCGCCCCCAGTACTACTACTTCTTAAATATTTCTGTTGAATGTAGTTGACACGATGTTATGTTAGTTGTAGGTGTATCACAGTGATTTAGTATTTCTGTGTGTTATGCCGTGTTCACCACAGGTAGCCACCATCTGCACCACATAACGCTAGACTACATTCCCTATGCTGTATCTTTTGTACCCATGAGGTACTCACTCCATAACTGGAAGCTGGTCTGTGCCACTCCCCTTCACGCATTTTGTCCATCCCCCTACCTCTCTCCCCTCTGACAACCACCAGTTTGTTCTCCGCATTTCTGCATCTATTTCTGCATTTTATTTGTTTATTCATTTGTTTTGTTTTTTAGATTCCACGTATGAGTGAGGTCATATGGTATTTGACTCTCTTTGTCTGACTTACTTCATTTAGCATAATGCCATCTAGGTCCATCCATGTTGTCACAAATGGCAAAGTCTCACCCTTTTTTATGGCTGAGGAACATTCCATTGTATATACATATATACCACATCTTCTTTATCCATTCATCTATCGATGTACACTTGGATTGCTTCCATATCTTGGCTATTATAGATAATGCTGCAGTAAACATAAGGGTGCATATAGCTTCTCAAATTAATATTTTTGTTTTCTTTGGGTAAATACCCAGTAGTGGAATGACTGAATTGTATGGTATTTTGTTTTTAATTTTTTGAGAAACCTCATATTGTTTTCCATAGTGGCTACACCAATTTGCATTCCCACCAACAGTGCACAAGGGTTCTTTTTTCTCCATGTTCTCACCAACACTTGTTATTTCTTGTCTTTTTATTTTAGCCATTCTAACTCTCTTATGTCTCTTAATCAGACATAAGGTGATAGCTCATTGTGGTTTTGATTTTCATTTCCCTGATGATTAGTGATCTGGAGCATCTTTTTGTGTATCTGTTGGCCCATTTGGAAAAACGTTTATTCAGGTCCTCTGCTCATTTTTAATTGAATTATTTACTTTTTTGGTGTTGGATTGAATAAATTCTTTATATATTTTAGATATTAACCCTTTATTAGATATATCATCTGCAAATATCTTCTCCCATCCACTAGGTTGCCTTTTTTTTTTCTGTTGACAGTTTCCTGCACTGTGCAAAAAGCTTTTTGTTTTGGTGTAGTCCCAATAATTTCTCTTTGCTTTTGTTTCTCTTGCCTTAGGAGATATATCTAGAAAAATATTGCTACAGCCAATGTCAAACAATGTATGCCTGTTTTCCTCTAGGAGTTTCATGGTTTCATGCCTCACATTTAGGTCTTTAATTCATTTTGAGTTTTATTTTTTTGTATGGTATAAGAAAGTGGTCCAGTTTCATTCTTTTGCGTGGAGCTGTCCAGTTTTCCTAGCACATTTACTGAAGAGACTGTCTTTTCCCCATTTTATATTCTTGCCTCCTTCGTGGTAGATTAATTGATCATGTAAGTGTCAGTCTATTTCTGGCTCTCTATTCTGTTCTGTTGATCTTTGTGTCTTTTTGAGCCAGTACCATACTGTTTTCATTACTCCACCTTTGTATTATAGCTTGAAACCTGGGGTTGTGTTACCTCCAGCTTTGTTCTTCTTTCTCAAGATTACTTTGGCTATTTGGGGTCTTTTGTGGTTCTAAACAATTTTTAGTATTATTTGTTCTAGTTCTGTGAAAAATGTTATTGGTATTTTTTTTGAGAGTTTAGATAAACCACATGTGGTTTTTTTTAAAAAAAAATTTATTAACATATAATGTATTATTTGTTTCAGGGGTACAGGTCTATGATTCATCAGTCTTACACAATTCACAGCACTCACCATAGCACATACCCTCCCCAGTGTCCATCACCCAGCCACCCCATCCCTCCCACTCCCACCATCCAGCAACCCTCAGTTTGTTTCCTGAGATTAAAAGTCTCTTATGGTTTGTCTCCCTCTCCAGTTTCATCTTGTTTCATTTTTTCCTCCCTTCCCCTATGATCCTCTGTCTTGTTTCTCAAATTCCTCGTATCAATGAGATCATATGATACTTGTCTTACTCTGATTGACTTATTTCGCTTAGCGTAATACCCTCTAGTTCCATCCACATCGTTGCAAATGGCAAGATATCATTTTATTGTTGGCTGCATAATATTCCATTGTATATATATACCACATCTTTTTTATCCATTCATCTGTTGATGGACATCTAGGCTTTTCCCATAGTTTGGCTATTGTGAACATTATTGCTATAAATATTGGGGTGATGTTATTGGTATTTTAATAGGGGTTGCACAGACTCTGTAGATAAGAATAATGTATAACTTTTGATTCCCCCAGCAATTAACTGCTTAAAGCCTAATATGGACCTTACTGATAACATAAACAGTTGGTTAACACATATTTTATATATGTATATACATATGTATTATACATTATATATAATACTACATATTATATTATTATATATTATGTGTAATATATACTGTATTCCTACAATAAACTAGAGAAAATAAAATGTTATTAAGAAAATCATAAAGAAGGGGCGCCTGGGTAGCTCAGTTGGTTAAGCGTCTGACTCTTGATTTTGGCTCAGGTCATGATCTCAGGGGCGTGAAATCAAGCCCCACGTTGGGCTTTGTGCTCATTGGGGAATCTGCTTGAGATTCTCTCTCTCTCTCTCTTTCCCTCTGCCCTTTCCACCTGCTTGCACTCTCTCTCTCTAAAATAAATAAATCTTAAAAAAAATCATAAGGAAAATACATTTACAGTACTATTCTGTATTGATTGAAAAAAATCCACATATAAGTGGACCCACGCACTTCAAACCAGTGTTGCTCACGGGTCAACTATAGTTGGTTCTCAGTAGAGCATCACTAGCTGGGAGTAGTAGCCTGTTCTAGATACACATAAGGCAGGTGTGTTACTGTACTATTTTAGCGTTGAGTTCCAGGTGTCGAGGTGGTCAGTTAGGTCCAGGAGCCCAGCTGGAAGTCACAGCCAAGCCTTCATTCACCGCAATAGTGCAGGCAAAGAGGTAAATAAACTCCAGCTCCCCAGTGTTCCACCCGTACCATGGAACAGCATGGGAGGGGCAGGTGACAGGCTGGGGATGGGGAGACATGTCTCTCTACCCAGAAGCCCCAAAGGAAAGGATGCTGCTTCTTAGGGACTGGGGGAGTGCAAGGGGTTGGTGGTGGTGGAAGATGTGGACAGGAAGGTGCTGAGTGGAGGGAGGGAAGTGGCTCAGCCAAGGCCCCAGTGCTGGGGTGGCCTGTGAGTGCAGCATCTGGGCTGGGAATGCAGACACACTGAGCAGGGCTGCCAATAGCCTGAGACCTCTGTGTCCCCAGTGTCCCGAGAGTTCTGCCAGGCAAAGCCTCCTGATGGCCTCTGGTCAGCCCAGAAGGATCGCAGGATCCCGGATCCGGGTATGGAGCCGGATGCCTCAGATAGATTTGTTTGAGTATAACTTTAATTAAAACCAAAAGAAAAACCGTTTAATGAGAGCATTAACATTGATTTTCATTTCACTCTGTGGGCCGCAGCATCTTGGCCGCCCTGGGCCACTGTGGCCCGCTTTACAAATGTAGGGATTGCCTGCTTATTCCGGGTGGTTATGTGTTTCCCACCAGCCACCCATGGGACACCGTCATCAAAGCTGCCATGAGGAAGTACCCGAATCCAATGAACCCCTGTGTCGTGGGAGTTGACGTGCTGGAGCGCAGTGTGGACAGCCGGGGCCGGCTTCACAGCCACCGCCTCCTCAGCACCGAGTGGGGGCTACCCGGCTTCGTGAAAGCGGTGAGCCTGCAACTGCTTGCCCCGCCGCGCCTCCGATGGCCCGCTTCCCCGCGTGCCCAGGCTACACCCGCATTGCCCCGCCCGGGCTCCACCCGCTTGCACCCAGGTTGTCCCCGCTGCACCTGCATCTGCCCGGCAAGTGGCCATCTGCAGGAGGTGACAGCCTTTCCTTAGAGCACCCACTCAGGACTTCAGAGAAGCCTGCGAGATGGTTTGTTTCTCTGTAAACTTCGTTTAGTTTCCATCTCCGTGGTGTGTGGCCCGGCTTCCCCAGCCTCGGCCCTGGCCCCACCAGCCCAGAACCCTCTCGCCCCGTGTCCACTGGGGCCGCCCTAACCAGATACCACAGACTGGGGGCCCCAACAGACACTTGTTTGCTCATAGCTCTGGAAGCTGGAGGTCCAAGATCAAGGCGCGTGCCGGGTTGATTTCCTTGAGGACCGTAAGGGGAGGGTCCGGTCCAGCCTCTCTCCTTGGCTGGCGGACTGCTGCCCTCTTGCTGCCTCTGTAGGTGGTGGTCCCTCGCCTCACACAGCCCGGCTGTCTCCCTCTGTGTGTCCTAATCTCTCCTTCTTATAAGGACACTGCTCAGACTAGGATAGGGTCCACCCTAATGAACCCCATTTAAACCTAATTACCTCTCCAAAGGCCCTATTTCCAAATACAAGTCACATTCTGAGGTGCTGGGGGTCAGGACGTCAACATATGAGCTGTGGGGGACACATTCAGTCAATGACAAGTCTCTTCTGCAGAGCCATCAGGGAGGTCGTTGAAAATGTAAAGCCGAGCACGACTTCCTCCTGCCCCTCCCCGGGCCCCTGCTCTCTTCTCAACACAGAGTCCCAGCGCTGACATGGGCCCAACACCCCAGTGAGCCCACCTTCTCCCTCCCCTGCCATGCCGGCCTCTCACTCCGCCAGGAGCTCAGCACGTGGGGCTGGGCCCAGGAGGCATCATCGGCAGCTCACCCGGCTAACCCCAGGACTCTGCCTGGTGCCTCTCCCTTCCTGGCTCTGCCACCCGGCAGAGGGCCCTCCCCACGCTCCCTGCCCCTCGCCATTTTCTTTTCTGTCAAGCCATTTATTACTGTCCTACACTCACCTCTACCTGAATTCATTCACTGGACCAATGGCGGCCTCGGCTGCTGGGGCAGAGGCACTTGAGGAGCTGTGCAGGGCTGTCCATGGCTGGATCCCCAGTTGTGTCTTTCGTTGAATAGATAAAGGACTTAATTAGTAAATGAAATTTGTGTTTGATGCTACAGAATGAAATTTTTGACATGTCACTATGCTAGTTTTGCTTTGTTTTTTAGATTTTGGGAACCAGTAGGACTTTGACATACATCAAAGAACATTCTGTTGTGGATCCAGTAGAAAAGAAAATGGAACTTTGTTCCACCAACGTAAGCAATGGCCTAAGATGAGAAAGGTGCTTGGTATTTCCTGGTGTGGTGGGTAATGTCTTCATTTAATTTTATTTCCAGCCCACCTTTGGTCTAAGTGATCTTTTATTTTTAGTAGAAAGGCTGAATTTATTTAGCAGTATTTTATTTACCTTTTTATTCCAGTATAATAAATGTACAGAAAAACACACATAATGAATTGTCACAAAGTGAACACACCTTTGTAACCAGCAGACAGATCAGAGACAGAGTGTGACCATCCCCCAGGAGCTCCCCTTGTGCTCCCTTCTGGTGGGCGCCCCCACCCCACCCTCAAGATAACCACTATCCTGACTTCCAACAGCAGAGGTGATTTTTAGCAGTAATTTTACAAGCACCTTTTCCCCTTCACTCCTCTCTCACTCAAAAGAATTTATATTGGCCTACTGCACATTTAAAAAATGTGTTGGGGAAAATGCATGGGCTAGATATGGTCTATTTTTATAAAATCGTATTCTATAAAAAAAGCTTATCAGCAGCTTTGTGCTCATTTACCTGGATGCTAACCCAGAAGGATTATGCTTTTGTATGACTGCTGATGGCTTGGCGGTTTGAAAGTGCCTCGAAGGCCAGGCCAGACTTAGGTTTGGGTGTAGAGGACAGGTGACGGTCGCCGGAAGGAGTGGCCAGGACTAGGTTTCCCTGGGACTTAACGTGGTGGCACTCCCAGGGCCTAAATGTTTCTTCTCTTCTGGCTTCAGCGAGTGCTGATTTGGGGATGGAAGGGTATGGGCAGATGTCTGGGAAGAAATGCAAGAGAAATAGAAGCTAAAGCCATTTTTTGTTTCAAGATCACACTCACAAACCTGGTGTCGGTGAACGAGAGGTTGGTGTACACTCCGCATCCAGAGGACCCTGAAATGTAAGTCACTGCATCCTGGGATTGACACGTTGAATTCCAGGCTTGGGGTGGGCCGGAGCCTACCCTTGGTCAGGGCTACTCAGCCCCTTTCCTGGCTGCTCTTCTGCAGGACTGTGCTCACACAAGAAGCCATCATCACTGTGAAGGGGATCAGCCTCGGCAGCTATCTGGAGAGTTTGATGGCCAACACGATATCATCCAATGCAAAGAAGGTACGGCTCTCGGTCCCGGGCCCCGTGTGCACGCCAGGGGCCAGATTAAGGGGCTGAAATGTATCATCCTACCGAGGGCTGTGGCCCTCCATCGCCAGCGAGCTTGTGATGTCACAGCCTTTTCCACTGTCACGGTCAAAACCGGCCGCAGGGAAAGCTGTCCCAGGCCTTGGGGGGAAGCGTTGGGTGAACGTGGGACACAAACGCAGTGGAGGCGAGTACGGCATCAGAGAGCCAACTAGCACAAGGCTCAGTGCGCAGGACAAACCCCGCACATGAACGTTGTCAGGCAGGGTGGTCAGGAATCGTAGTTTCCCACTGAACAGGCTTTGGCTGAGCCTCCCGTCTGCCAAGCTCCCCCAGACTTAACTCCCATCTCTGTGCCTCCCCTCTGGCAGGACTGGGGAGTAAGGTCTGTGGAGGTGGCAGGAGAAAGGTGGGACCCCAGGTCCCTAGCGGGAGGGCTGCCTTCGTGAGGCAGACACTGCTCACGGAGTCCAGGTTGTCCTCCTTCCAGCAGAGCGAGCCATGGAAAGAGCTTGGATGTGTGGCAGCCATTGCACGAGTTCAAGGTAACGTCACCTGCCAGAGCAGGGCCTTCACTTCTCACCTTCACTTCCCTCCCAGGCCGATGTCTTCCTGGCTGTCCTCCCCGTCCCTCCTCTCTCCTGGTTTATTTTGATCAGAAGTAATTCTCCATTTGGGGGACCAGTGGGATGCCTACCATGCTTGTCACAATTTAACGGGAAAACTACTTCTGCCTTGCATGTAGCTGCAGCACTGATAGAAGAGCCAGTCTGCCCTATTTTTAAGAAAAATCCAAATTTGAGCAATGTTGACAGTCACTCAGCTCAGTTCAGGGAAGGCAGGGCAAACACAGTGCCCAGAGCTGCCTGCCTCGTGTCCATACTGAAGGCCCTCTGGGGAGGAGACAGAACTGTACTCACTTTTGTGAGTCCAGGGTCTGGCCGGGGGCAGGCACCCTAAATGTTTGCTGGAAAAAATAAGTTACAGGAGGAAAGGACTACTTGGTGAGGCCAAAGCCACCCCGAGACCTCTTATGAGAAAAGGCAGAGGAAACTCAGTGAGGCCAAATGAAAGTCTTTTATTTCACTTTATGTGAGGGGTTGCATGTTGAAGGCCTGCCAGAGAATCACTTCCTCCCCCGACCTGTGTTGCCACGTGGTAGCATGCCCAGGAGACAGGAGAAGGAGAGCAGGTCATCCTGGGGTTTGGGTGGGATGAGCCCTTGAGGAGGCTGCGAGGCCGCCCGCTGGTCGGGCTCTCAGGAGGGGACAGTGCAGCTGATGGGTGCCGAGGTGGGCACAGCCCAAGCCGGTGTGAGAATTTCAGGCAGAGTATCTACCACCTGATTTCTGAGCTTGAGAAACTACCCGGTCCAGTGAAGATTGTTCAGGAACGGTGACTGCTGTATCTCTTTTAAAACGGGCCATGCTACCAAAATAAATAAATAAATAAATATTTAAATAAAAAATAAAACGGGCCACGCTTTCCTCGTGCCCTTTGAAGTTCAGGCTGAGGCCTGCTGTCTGCAGTGAGGGAAGCAGAATTTCTTACACCATGTTGAACTCTTTCTGTGTTGCTCCAGGGGTGGGCTGCTATTGAGTGGATAATTGAAAATTCTGAGCGCGCTGTGAGCTAACGGGGTCTGCACCTGCACCTTATGATGAACAGTGGTAACTATAGTGCTCTTTAACCCCATAGAGAATTAAGCATCTTGCTAACCATGTGCATGGTGTGCGGCGCTGGGTGTTTCAAGGTGCGGCTGCATGCGTCTCCAGCCCTGTGCTCCTTAGTATCTTCTGGAATGGAAACCGCCATTAGTTCATCCTCTTCCTAATTCATCTCCTTGTTTCATGGCAGGATTTATTTCCCAGGAAGACCTGGATATTGGTTATCTGGTCTCCAAGAGAGGCAGTTCAGCATCTCCCAAGCTGTTCTCAGTACCTGCTTGCTTAAACATTTCCTAGAATTAGTGTATCATCAGAAAAGAGGCTTTCACGAGTAGTTCCAGACCGATCAGATGGGAGGGTTTTTTCATTTTGGGCAGGATCTGAATATTTGCACATGTTCTTATAAAGAATGCCCTGTGCCCTTGCATCAGTGCTGTGGGTCTGGGGGGAGTCCTGCTCCTCACTTGCTGTAGGCCAGCACCCAGCCATGTAACTGCCACTGGCTCCTTTCTTTTAGTGGCAAAAGCCATTTCTAGCATCTTCTTGAGCTTCACAAACATTCCTTGGTTTCCTAGGCCACCAGTGGCTGGACTGTTAGAAAGGAATTTGACACTTAATTGGTCAACAGTCATCTTCATACTTCATAGGAAAGTCAGAGAGTTTCCTGCTTCCCTCTGTTTAGGGAATCCTAATACTCCTGCCTTGAAACCCTCACCCTGTTGACCTTCCATACTGTGCTGCTCTGGGCCCCGCTTCCCACGGTTGGTCTCTCTGTCTGTCTGCAGCATGTGTGTACACACTCGGTGCCTCAGTCAGCAAACGGGAGCCATGTGGCTCAGCCTCCTTTAAGAACTTCCTGCTGAAGCTTAAGTTTGCAGAAGACCTTCACCTTGAACCCAAGGTCACGATCTGCCGCTGGCTCTCTCTTCTTCCACGGATGCACCAGTAAGGTGACCTCATGTAGAGAGCCCGCCTGCCTGGTGAGCATAGTGTGTGTGGGCAGTGTGGCGTGTGTGATGTGTCACTCTGAGCTGTGGACTCTGTCACATTCTCTTTCCTCATAAACTAGGGCTAAACTGCCTCAGTCTTTAATCAGATGCCTCACCCAAAAAAATTAAAGAAGAAAGAGAGAAAGAACAAAAGAAAAAAAGGAAGGAAGAAGGAAAGGAAGAAATAAGCGAGCCTTGAATATGGTTCGCCCCGTCTGGGAGAGGTGTGGGATCTGCTGGAATCTGCCCCTTGCCTGGTCACAGCCTCCACCGGGCTTTTCGGCAATGACCTCTCAAGACAGGAGGCCCGTCTGTTGCAGAGTGAGACCCAAAGAAGGGAAGACCCCTAGGAGGGCGAGGGCCGCAAAGCTGCCACGGCACCGCTGCCCACAGGCCAGCCACCCCCGGGCCAGTGTTATCAGATTGCTCTTGTGCCTTGTCTGTCTTCCCCTGGGCAGCAGCTCCCAGCAATTTTCTGCTGACTCTTGGGATCTTACTAAACAACTCTGCTCTTTCCTGATGACTCCCCGTTTCCCTTCCATGCCCCTTGGCCAACCGTCTGCACTGCCAGTCTCTTCACACATATCTGGCCACCGTTGGTCACGTCAGATGCTGCCGCCGTGCAACCTTCTCACCACTGTTAGTGCAGGTCTGCACACGTTGGAATAGGGGCGTCCACCCCCACAGTGACATGTGTGGTGATGGTACCGTGAGCTCTCCCACCACACAGTTGGAATTGGTCAAGGGAGCAAAGCGCTCTGCTCTCAGGCTGTGGCTGGCTTGTCCTGGGTTCTGGGACCAGCGACCTCCGGGGCTGAAGGCTTGTGTTACTTGTCACTGTTCACACCCATCCATGGGGAGGCTCATGCACATGGAGCCACTGTGATGAGATGGTGGCGAAAGTGTTTGTGAGCTTGAGCTGTCCCGTTAGCTTTAAGGTACTTCCAGGTGGGAATTTGAACTTTCCTGTTTTCACAAGGAGAATGTAAAATCTTTCAGTCTGCTTTGAATTCTAAACACTTCAGAGAAGGCCTCCCCCATAAAGGATGAGTAGAACTGTGTTCTACCGTTTTTTTAGATAGTGCTTTTTGTTTGATAATAGTATGTCTAATCTAAAATGAAATGATATTCATTTATATTTTTACCAGAATATTTTAAGCTTATAGCTCCTGGTAAAACTGAGTTAAAAGATTTATGGTAAAATAACCCCCCTTACTCCTTCTGCAAAGCACGTTTCTACACTTCTGAGGGGATGCTCAACTCTTTTGGCAGTTTTTGGCTTTTACTGCTAGATTTCTAAATAAGCATATCCTGCTATTTCTTGATTTGCCAATTTTAGACATTATCTAGATATTACTTACCTTTTTGCTAAAGTATTATTTTATCTCTTTTATCTCTTCCTCCCCACTCCTATTCCCCCAAAATAGCTATATTGTTTATGGTTGAAAGCACATTCAGAGTTTCCATAATTCTGAAAATACAAATACATCGCTATTGCTTATTGCCAAGCCATAATTACATTTTCTTTCTTATGCAACTTTTTCCCCCTTGGGGATAATAATTGTCTTATTCTTTTCATTTATTTAATTATATATTTTAAAGGTCTCTGGCTGAGTCCTTCCACACTCTTAATCGCTCTCTGCAGTACCTTGTGACGTCATTTTCCACAGGTCAGTCTTTTTGGGCAGCACACACCCTCCCAGTTTCCCTAGCGCCATCTTTTCTGGAAGTTAGGCCTTACTCTCTGACCATGTGGCTGTCATCCCTTTTTGTGGGCATTTCTGGACATTTCCTTGATCTTCTCCTCTCCTGGAGCCCTTCTTTCCCTGCTTCCCTGCCTTCCTCTTTCTCTTTCCTCTCATGGGATGGGGAAGAACATCTCATCATGGCTTCTCAGACTTGGCAGATCTGAAAATGGCTCTTCTATTCTCATACTTCGTTCATAGCATCGCTGGACATATAATTCTAAAAAAAACCAAAAAAACAAAAAACTTTCACTCAGAATTTTGAAGGCATTGTTCTGTTGTTTTCCACTCAGATTATCGATTCTCTATATGTGACTTATTTTTTCTCTCTCTGAAAGCTTTTTGGATCTCTTTATCCACGATGTTATGAAATTTCATGCGGTTAAGTCTCATTTGAAGTGAACTTTTAAAATTCATTGTGCTGCACTGTGCATATTAAATTCCTGGTTTTGATATTGTATTATAATTATGCAAGATGTTATTGGGGGGAGTGGGTAAAGGGTACATGGGACATTCCTGTACTATCTTTGCAGCTTCCTTTGAATCTATTATAATTTCAAAATTAAACATTAAAAAAATATAAATAGTAGCATCATGGAAAATGGTAGAGGCAGGTGCTCCCAGAATTGGTCCCTCCACTGAAATAACCAATAAGCTGGCAAAAAATGACAGAATCAACTTCTGTAGAACCATGGATTCTAATAGAATACTTCAACCAGGGGAGCACTTAGTGAATCTAAGTCCTATCTAACCTACCCTGCAGATTTTGGACTTGCCAGCCTCCATAATTATGTCAGCCAATTGCTTAAAATAAATCTCTGTCTATATGTACACATCCTGTTGGTTCTGTTTCTCTGGAGAACCCTAATACATTATTTTTTTTTATTTTTTTAAAGATTTTATTTATTTATTCATAAGAGACAGAGAGAGAGAGAGAGGCAGAGGGAGAAGCAGGCTCCCTGCTGAGCAGGGAGCCCAATGCAGGACTCGATCCCAGGAGTCTGGGATCATGACCTGAGCTGAAGGCAGACGCTTAACCATCTGAGCCACCCAGGCGCCTGAACCCTAATACATTATTAAAGCTAAATTTGTATCAGTTCAAATTAGATTTTTCTGAATTTAAGATATTAATTATAATCACCAGGGTAACCGGTAAGAAAATAAAACATCCAGAAAAGAAATAGGAGGACTCAGAATGGTAGTGTACCATTGTGGAAAAAAAAAAAAAAATCAAACACAACAGACAAGGATGGAAAGAATTCATGAACAGAAAATTATGAAACTCACAGAAAACAACTAACAGTGTAAGAAGTTAGTGTCTTTTTTTAGCATTCATTACTTTAAAGATAAATAGATTAAACAAACCAATTCAAGGACAGAGATTGGCAGAATAGATGAAAAAACATGATCCTACTATATATGCTGTCTATCAGAGACTCACTTTAGATCCAAAGACACAAATGGCTTGAATGTGAAAGGATGGAAAAAGATATTCCAAGTAAATAATAACCAAAAGAGCTGGAGTGGGCAACTAATAGCAGACAACATCTACTTTTGGTCAAAAATTGTTACAAGAGACAAACAAGGACATTATACATCAATGAGATGGTCAATTCATCAAGAAGACAAAAGTTATAACCATTTACACACCAAGCGACAGAGCCCCCGAATATATGCAGCAGACATTAGCAGAACAAAAGGAGAAAGGCAATTCTACAATACGTGACAAACTACGAGAAACACACAAATTACCAAAACTGATTTAAGAAGGAATAGAATCTCAACAGGTCTATGACAGTTAAAGACATTGAATCAATAATTAAAAACCTTGCAACCAAAGCCTCTCAGAGGGCAGCATAGGAAGAGCACCCTGCAGTTTGGTGTGATACCCCAGCAGATGGGCTGAGGACAGGCGTCTGGTCTGACTGCTGACAGTGCCCAACAGTGGCTCCAGACCCATAGCAGGCAAAGAGAGCCATTGCAGTTGACTGAACTGAAGGCAAATGCATCTCAGGCACAACAGTAGGACACACATAGCCCACATGGGAGACATCTCTGAAGTGCCTGGTCTGGTGAACAGGAAGCATTGTGCGGCAGGACACCACAGGTCCTCTTCTTCATAAGTCCACTACTTTCAAGATCAAGAGATGTAGCAGACTTTCCTACCCATAGAAACAAACACAGACAAAATGAGGAGACAGAGGAATATGTCCCAAATCAAGAACAGGACAAAAATCACAGCACAAGAACTAAATGAAATGGAAATAAGCAATATGCCTGATAAAGAATTCAAAGTAGTAGTTATAAAGATACTACAGGACTTGAGGAGAGGGTGGAGAATCTCAATGAGACCCTCAACAAAGAGATTAAAAAAAAAAAAGAACCAGCTAAAGATGAACTCAATAACAGAGATAACAAATACACTAGAGAGAATCAATAGCAGATTAGAGGAGGCAGAAGAACAAATCAGTGAGTTGGAAGACAGGGTAATGGAAAGCAACCAAGCTGAATAACAAAAAAAAGGAAAAATGAAAAAGAAAAAATGAGAATAGGTTAAGGGCACTCAATGACATCAAGTGAGATAATATTCACATTATAGGGATCCCAGAAGGAGAAGAGAGAGAGAAGGGGGCAGAAAATTTATTTGAAGAAATAATATCTGAAGATTTCCCTCATCTGGGGAAGGAAACAGACAGAAGGGACAGAAAATCCCTTCCTCCCGAGGTGAAGAGAGTGCCCAACAAAATCAACCCAAGGAGGTCCACACCAAGACACTTAATAATTAAAATGGCAAAAGGTAGTGATAAAGAATTTTAAAAGCAGCAAGAGAGAAAAAAAAAGTTACATACAAAGGAAACCCTATAAGGCTACTAGCTGATTTTTCAGCAGAAATTTTGCAGGCCAGAAGAGAGTGGCATGATATATTCAAAGTATTGAAAAGAAAAACCCTACAACCAAGAATACCCAGCAAGGGTATAATACAAGGAGCAATAAAGAGTTTCCCAAACAAAAGTTAAAAGCGTTCACTACTAAACCAGCCTTGTAAGAAATGTTAAAGGGAATTCTTTGGGGAAAAAAGTCATAATCAGGAATAGGAAAATTATGAAAGGAAAAAATTTCACAGATAAATGCAAACATATAATAAAAGTAGTAGGTTAATCACTTATAAAACCAGTAGGGAGTTTAAAGCACAAAAGCAGTAAAATCAATAATATCTACAAAAATCAGTCAAGGAGTTCACAAAAGGTATAAAATATGACATCATATACATAGAACGTGGGGTTGGGGGAGTAAAAGTTTAGTGCTTTTAGAACTTAAGTGACCATTAACTTAGTAATATACATTGCTGTATGCATGTTATAGATGAGCCTAATGGTAACCACAAATCAAAAATATGTAATAGATGCACAAAAAATAAAAAAATCCAAGCATAACACTAAAGAAAGTCATCAAACCACAAGGGAAGAGAGCAAGAGAAGAAAGGAACAGAGAACTAAGAAAACAACTGTAAAACAAACAACAAAATGGCAACAAATAAAACCTATCAATAATTACTTTAAGTGTAAATGGCCTCATGCTCCAATCAAAACATAAGGTGACTGAATGGATAAAAAAGCAAGACCCATCTATATGCTGCCTACAGCAGACTCACTTCAGACCTACAGACACATGCAAATTGAAAGCAAAGTGATGGAAAAACATTTACCATGCAAGTGGAAGCAGAAGGAAGGCTGGAGTAGCAATACTTATATTGGACAAAATAGACTGTAAAATAAAGACTGTAACAAAAGACAATGAAGGACATTTCATAATGATAAAAAGATCAATCCAACAAGAGGATATAACAATTGTAAAATATGCATCCAACCTAGGAGCACTTAATATATAAAGGAAGAAACTGACAGTAATACAATAATGGTATGGGACTTTAATACCCCACTTACATCAATGGATAGATCACCCAGACAGAAAATCAACAAGGAAACAGCAACCATTAGACAAGATGGAGCTAACAGATGTATGCAGAACATTGCATCTAAAAACACAATACACATTCTTTTCAAGTACACATGGAATATTTTCCAGAATAAATCATGTTAGGCCACACACAAAAAAACTCAATAAATTAAAAAATTCAATAAATTCAAAAATATCACTCATCTTTTCCAACCACAATGGTATGAAACTAGAAAGCAATCACAAGAAAAAAAACTGGAAAGAACACAAATACATGAAGAATAAATAACATGCTACTAAACAATGAATGGGTCAACCAAGGCATCAAAGAGGAATTTAAAAAATGCATGGAGAAAAATCAAAATGAAAGCATAGTGGTCCAAAATCTTAGGGACACGGTAACTCTTCTACGAGGGAATTGTATAGCAATACAGGCCTACTTCAAGAAACAAGAAAAAGCTCAAATAAACAACCTAACCTTACACCTAAAGGAAAAAGAAAAAGAACAAAGCCCAAAGCCAGTGGAAGGAAGGAAATAATAAAGATTACAGCAGAAATAAATGAAGTAGAGCCTAAAAATGAAATAGAACAGATCAGTGAAACCAGAGCTGGTTCTTTGGAAAGATTAAAAAAAAAAACCAAAAACCTGATAAACATTTAGCCAGACTTATCAAGAAAAAAAAAAGAGGACACAAATAAATAAAACCAGAGACGAAGGACAAAACACAACAATCTCCAGTGACAACAGAAGACCAGGACCAGATGCCTTTACTGGTGAATTCTACCAAATATTAAAGAGTTAGCAAAAATCCTTAGCAAACTCTTCCAAAAAGAGGAGAGAATACTTCCTAACTCATTCTGTGAGACCAATAACCTTGATACCAAAGTTAGGCAAAGACCCCCAGAAAATAAATCTACAGCCCAATATCCCTCATGAATACTGATGCAAACGTGCTCAACAAAATACTAGCAAGCTGAATCTAACAGCATATTAAGATGCTATACACCATGACTAACTGAGATTATACCAGAAATGGAAGGATGGTTCAACATACAAAAATCAAACAATGGGGGCGCCTGGGTGGCTCAGTCGTTAAGTGTCTGCCTTCAGCTCAGGTCACAATCCCAGCGTCCTGGGATCGAGCCCTGCATGGGCTTCCCTGCTCTGCGGGAAGCCTGCTTCTCCCTCTCCCACTCCCCCTGCTTGTGTTCCCTCTCTCGCTGTGTCTCTCTCTGTTGAAAAATAAATAAAATCTTTAAAAAAAAAAATCAAACAATGATATGTACCTCATTAATAGCACTAAGAGGGAAAAACTCACACGATCATCTCAGTTGATGCAGGAAAAGCATTTGAAAAAACTTAACACACTTTCATGAGGAAAACACTATTCTGGGAATAGATACAAGAATTCTAGAAATAGTCTAGGTATAGGAAAGAACTTCTTCTACATGATAAAGCGCATTTTTGAAAAACCCACAGCCAACATCCTATGCAATGATGAAAGACTGAAATCTTTCCCCATAAGATCAAGAACAAGACAAAGACGTCCACTGTCATTACTGCTATTGAACATTGTTCTAGAAGTTCTAGCCAGAGCAGTTAGACAAGATAAAGAAGTATTAGGCATCCAAACTGGAAAGGAAGAAGTAAAACTATCTACATCCACAGATGACATGATCCTATAGATAGAAAACCCAATGAAGAAAGAATCCACAAGAAAGCTAATAAAAGAATTTAGCAAAATTAAAGGGTAGAAGATCTACACATAAAAATCAGTTGTGTTTCTTTACACTAGCCATGATCAACCTGATAAGAAAATTAAGAAAACTGTCCAATTTACAGTTGT